GGGCAAGGCAAGGGACGCATCTGGCTGCATCCCTTCCTCTGCAGTGGCACTGAGACCAAACTGCAGAACTGTCCTCACTTTGGCTGGGGCAACCACTTTTGTGGCCATGAGTGGGATGTTGGGGTGATCTGCTCAGGTGAGTTGGGCTGTCTGGGTTTGATAAACTGTGCCTGGAGCTTTAGGCAGGGCTGAGTCCAATCCTTAATGTAGAGGCACTGGAGCTGCGGTTGGTGGATGGTGGTGGACCCTGCGAGGGGAGAGTGGAGGTGAAGCTTCGGGGACATTGGGGCACTGTGGCTGATGATGCTTGGGACATGGATGATGCTGAGGTGGTGTGCCAGCAACTGGGCTGCGGCTCTGCTGCTGGCGCCTACTTTGCCTCACGGTTCCGGTCAGTAGACGGTCCCATCATGATGGCCTTTATTGACTGCCGTGGAGATGAGGCTGCCCTGTGGGACTGTAACATTCGGGGCTGGGGTCCCTACAATGGCCCTCATGATTATGACACTGCTGTGGTCTGCCAAGGTGAGAGCTGGGGACATGCAGCACTGTGGGGAGGCCACAGCCCACATCCCCCAGCCCAGCAGCCCACCTCTCCTGGCAGGGTTCTCCCGGCTGGCTGGAGGGGACAGTGAGTGCTCAGGGAGGCTGGAGGTGCGGCAGGGCCGGACCTGGGTCAGTGTCTGCCATGGCCATGTGGACCTCAGGGCCGCCCAGATCGTCTGCAGGGAGCAGGGATGCGGTACAGCAATGAAGCTAAAAGAGGTAGTGGATTTTCAGGCAGTAGCAGGGCCATTCTATGATGGAGCCTTCAAGTGCAAGAGCACCGAGCCCCTCCTGTCCGCGTGCACACAGCAGCCTCCCCACATCCAGAATTGCACCCAACCCACTGCCATCATCTGCTCCCGTAAGTGCAAGGGCTGTGGATATGCATCAGCCCCGTGCAGTGTGGAGTGCTCAGGGGGTCCCTCATTCCACCAACCCCTCTCTCTGCTGCAGCATACACTGGGTTCCGGCTTGTGGATGGAGGCTCAGTCTGCATTGGGAGGCTGGAGGTGGAGGCACGAGGGGTGTGGAGGCCCCTGTGTGCCACTGCCTGGGACCTGCCTGATGCCCACGTCCTCTGCCACCACCTGGGCTGTGGCTTTGCTGTCTCTCTGCCCCCACCAGGCCATTTTGGGACCGGGACAGGGATACTGCTGCAGAATGCCCTCAGATGCAGTGGGAGTGAGTGGCACCCGGGCGAGTGCCACGTGGAGGTGCTGGGACAGCCCGCCTGCCCCCCCGGGCACACTGCTGCCGTCAACTGCTCAGGTGGGTGTGGAGACCATAGAGAGCAGCAGGTGGGGAGCACTGCCCGACCCCAAGACGCAGCCATGCTGTTGCAGGTGTCACAGAACGCCTGCAGCTTCACAATGGGGAGAGCCGGTGCGATGGACGGCTGGAGGTGGCCGTACGCCCCGGTGTCTGGGCCCGTGTGTCTGTGGGGCTGTGGGACAATGGCACTGCCACCGTGGCGTGCCAGCAGCTGGGCTGCGGTGTGCCGGAGAAAGTCTATGCTGCACCAGACAACGGCTCGGGCCCCATGGAGCTGCAGGAGCTGCACTGTGTTGGCACCGAGGAGCTGCTGGCACACTGTAATGCCTCAGGGATGGCCACAGAGCCCACCAAGAGCCACAAGGAGTTGGCCATCACCTGCTCAGGTGAGTGCACAAGGAAGGACCACAGGCATCACACTGCTATCCTCATCCCCAGCCTGACAT